GAGAGAGAGGAAGAGGAGTTAGGAGAAGTTCCCTTGGCAGGAACAGGGGACGGCGGGTCGGATAGCGTCCAGGCGAACGAAAAAGGGGATGGAGATTCCGGGGAGGTACATGACAATTTCGCAGTTTGGGGAAACGGTAGTAGTAACAGGGGGAGAAAGAGTCTGCTCGGAAAAGGAGGGGGTGACGGGAGGAAGGAAAGTCTGCTCGGAAAAGGAGGGGATGACGGGAGAAGGTGAGTGTAGTTCTGTAAACGGAGGGGGAGTGGGAATCTCGTGCACGAAAAGGGGAGGGAATCTCTTGTGCATAGGGAGAGGAGAAATCGAGGGGGAATCAATTAGAAGCGGGAATTTGGAGAGATCTAAAGGGAATTCTGAGGGATCGACGGGGGAGTAGGAGGGTTCGGGATATTGTACGTGTGTGGTGGTGTGTGTTTGTGTCGTAGAGAGAGACGGCGGGTAAACTATTACGGAGGGGCGCGGTGTAATATTAACAGGGAGAGACGGCGGCGTAGTATTTGCGGAGAGCGGCGGTGTAGTATTTTCGGGCATCAGAAGTTGCCTAGACCGCGGATTCCGGCGGGGGTCCTTAATATAAGGGCCTCTGGGGCGAGGCTCCCTAGTCGCACCCCGAGTGCGCACTAAAATTGAAGCGGTTAGTAATTGTGGAAGAAAGATAAAAATTAGAGTTGCGTGTACATTATTTTCATACGCATACTCCTATTAAGGAAGGGGAAGGGATAAAGAAGGGAACGGCTTACTTGTATGATAACTGAAGAAAAGGCGGCGATCAGCCCCCCTAAGGTGGTCTATTATGGCGGAGCTTCTAATCGAACCTCCTGGAGCAAGGCTTTAAGCTCTCGGTGGGTCTGAGCCGGACGGTTGGTCGTGGGTGCTCCTGGTGGACGTCGACGACCTCGGAGGCGCACAGCGGTGGACGGGCCGTGAGTGGGCCTTGGTGCACTGCCTCTAACCGACCACCAGATCTTGGTCAGTTGACTCGGGCGATGCCTCGGACAACTGACTTCCGATCAAAGAGGTGACTTGAGCGAACAAGAGGGAGACCGGCCTTATCAACTCGGGCTTATCGCCTCGGAAAACTGACACGGTGGACTGATGATTAGAACTGTCTCTGTGCGCTTCCGAGGGCCTCTATTTATACCCCAAAAGGGCGGGTTTTTCCTTTGTCTGAAATTGTTGCAACGCTAGCAACTTGTGACATGATTTACGATTTTTCTTAACTTCTATCATTGCTGATATCTAGCGTTTTTTTTTGGATAGTTTCAGTAATAAAGATTTTACGATTTTTCTTGGGTCTTATCATAGTTGGTCTCGCGTCTCCCCGGAAGAGATTTGACAATAAGGAGATTTATGATTTGGCGCAATGGACATGGCGCCTGCTATTTCTTGGACGAATTTTATTATATTGCGGGTCGCCCTCAGATAGTACTTTTGAGTGTTCGTTATCGTGTGATTGCTTAGAAATGTACGGTTCCGCAATTGTAATCTCTGCCAGCCTTTTGTATGTATGCTATTTTCCTCTTTTGATTTTTCTTTTGAGTGACATTTACGAGTCTCCCAGCGCGTGGAGTGCACTTAGGCCCAATTATCAGATATCTGCGCTCGGGCCTGTCTCGTAAATCTCACTCTGGATATAACGCTGACCAACACCCTTTGAAAGAAAAGAATCGTGGAGTCTACAGGACGTAACAATACAAAGGGTCTACACTTTATTTTCCGCCTTTGTCGGGAGATGGAAAATTTTTACAGATAGTGGCCTAGTTTACACCTAACAACCTGACCTATACCCTAACCTATATCCCACCTAAGAAAGGTCTCGTATGGAGCGTTTACCGCATATAGACCTATAATATTTTTGGGCCTAATGTAGGTCGCATTTAGTCTCACGTTTCTTAGTACACTTTACGCCTTTAGGTCTGCCTGCGTTTACATGCGTTAAAGCTAGATAGGTCGTGCGGCCTAAGAGAGGTTAGGGATCTTGAAAAAGCGAGGTTACAGCTATTTACACCGTCGCGACCTGTCGTGTTTAGGTTAGATTTAGAGTATAGGTGGCGGCCTAAACGTAGGGTGTAAACTAGGCCAGTGTGCCATTCATGATATTGAAACCCTTATGCACTACTCGTTGGGAGAGTAGAATCAATTCTTTAAAACCTTTTCTTTTCCAAATAGTTGAGATTCACGATGCTCTCATAACACTCAGTAAAAATGTTTCATCAGATGCTGCTATTAGACATGAGGCTCAAACATTAGCAACACAAATATGTGACTTCGAGTTCATAGTCACTCTCGTAATTTGGTACGACATTTTACATCAAGTGAATATTGTGAGCAAAAGTATGCAATCTATTAATATGGATTTAAACTCTGCTGTAACACTATTAGATTCTTGTATTAATTATATTTGAAAGTATCGAATTTCTGGATTCGAAAGAACATTAATAGATGCTGAACAACTAGCTGAAAACCTTGACGTAGATGCTGTTTTTGTAGATAAAAGAGTTCGAAGAAAAAAGCGTGCATTTATGTACGAGACACTAGATGAGATAATGACTGATCCACATGAACGTTTTAAAATACGCGTTTTTAATGTAATATTGGATAAAGCAGATGTTTCGTTAAACGAACGATTTAAACAACTAAAATCTTTCGAAGAAACTTGGGGGTTTTTATTTAAATTAAAAGATTTGCCGATAGTCAGTGAGTTGGAGAAATTGTGTCAAAATTTGGAAACACAGTTAAGCGATGATACAGACCAAGATATAAACGGTAAGGAGATATTATTTGTGGAACTACAGTCGGTAAGTTCCTTATTTCCCAAAGACGTGAATACTCCACTGGAAACATTAAATTTCATTCGTAAAAATAATCTGGAAAATACTCTACTGAATGTATGGATAGCATTGAGGATTTTATTGACAATTCCTATAACAGTTGCTAGTGGGGAACGTAGCTTCAGTAAATTAAAACTCATAAAAACATATTTGCGATCTTTCATGACTCAGGAACGATTGAATTCGTTGGCATTATTATCAATCGAAAATGAATTGATAAGCGAAGTAGATATTAGTAATAAAGTGAAGGAATTCGCTGACATGAAGGCAAGGAAAACGTTCATATAAACCTATCACCTATCTGTCTCTTATTTGAAAAAGCAGTTTTTTTTAATTATGCATAAAACTTTTAGAAAAAGAAGTAGTTCACAAAAATAAAAAAACAAAAAAATATGATTTAAAAAAAAAACAAAAAATTAAAAACATAAAAGCAAAAAAAATTAAAAATATATGAAAACAAAAAAAAATGTTAAATGGGATCTTGTTTGCCACGTCCTCGTCGTGATCCCGGGAAGTGTAGAGAGCAAACGCAATCGAGAAGCCACAAGAGAGTGGAGGGGAGGGGGGTGACTTTTGGAGCTCTTGCCCAGGGCGCCATAATTTCTCGCGCCGGCCCTGTTTGAAATTCTCATGATTCAATGTTATTTAGTATATATAAATATGTTTATGCTTACATCATATACAAAAAAAGTATATTATTATATATTAATGTATAAAGATATTATTACCCTGCTTAAAAATTCTCATTGAAACTGATAGAAAAATTTCCTATGGGTTTGAACCCGAATTGTGCAACAGCAATCTCCGATTGAAAAGTACATTTCCCATTGGCTTTCCTAAATCGGAATGAATTAGCACAAAGCACAATGGAAATCAATGAGAATTAATAGTATATTCATAGGCAAAATCAAATGAATTCCAACGGGTTTTCCAATGGTATATATTCAATAAGATTTAATATGTCAAAACAAATGAGATTAAATCTGCAAATACCTATAATTGATTTGACATCGCTCAATCGGAATTAATATGATTTTTTTTATATCACATTTATTAGGTTCCAGTCGGTGTCTGTAAAATTTATTTTTAATGGGTTTTAATCGGTATCGCGTTGTAGACGAATTGAATAAGATTGTATTAATTATTTCAACCAAAAAACATATTTAATTTAATTTTTTTATTCTTTTTTAATTATTAAAATAGATATTTTCAATCGGAGATTGCTGTTGCACACAATTCGGTTTCAAACCCATAGGAAATTTTTCTATCAGTTTCAATGGGAATTTTTAATGTTACAATATTCCTAAAAAACGCTTATCGGGTTATCGACGGGATTCGAACCTAAGATCTCTGGGTGGGAATCTTATACGCTAACGCTGACCTATAATCGCACGCTTGTCTGAACACTTTAATATTTAGTATATATATTAGACTGCCATTCGTCTTGATCATATAATGGTTCGAATATCGTCGATATCTCATCATATTATGTGTTTTCAGGAATATTGTAATATATATTCTATCCGCTATCGGTTCTATCACACTATGTGAAGTTAATAAGTTTCAATTGGTAAATTCGTCGAATGCCGTTTAATGGGATTTTGTTGATTTCTTACGATACACGCTTCACCGGATTTAATCGGCGATGCATTTCTGCTGTGCTTTTACAAGCACAATTTCTCATCTTTTTAACGATTCTTAGACCGGTATTTATGGTCAGTTTTTATATTCAAGATCATCATAAGTTCAGCCTTGTGGTGTCATGAACCGATCAAAGGGCCGCACTAGCGTCTTAAGACGTTACTTAAAATCCCATTAAACGACATTCGACGAATTTACCAATTGAAACTTATTTACCCTGTAGTGTGATAAAACCGATAAAATCTCACTTATTCCGGTTGAACTGCGTCTCCGATTAAACCTGATTCAACAGGTATCGTAAGTAACCGATAGAATCCTACTAATTCCAGCTGAAATGCATTGCCGATTAAATCCGGTTAAGCGTGTATCGTAAGAAATCAACAAAATCCCATTAAACGGCGTTAAACGAATTTACCAATTGAAGCTTATTAACTTCATAATGTGATAGAACCGATAGAATCTCACTAATTCCGGTTGAACGCGTCGCCAATTAAATCTGATTCAACAGGTATCGTAAGTAACCGATATAATCTCACTAATTCCAGCAGAAATGCATCACCGATTAAATCTGATTTACCATTTATCGTAAGAAAACTGATTAAAATCCATTATAATCAATTAAAGCGTGGTACCAATTACATCTGATTCAGTTGGTATTGTAGATAATCAGATTCAATCCCGTTAATAGTGGCAGAAGAGCGTTATTGAACAAAACCTATTGTTGTGCCGCTGCTTGCGGCACGGGATTCGGGATCCACCAATGATTCGGGAGCAGCAAATAATTATTGAAACACTTTTCTTTTTATGAACTTTAATTATATTTTCAATAAACTTTATTAATTTCACTTTTATACACAAAGTATTTATTTCACTGTATCACTTACACTACGCGTGTAGCGATATAACTTTAAGATCGTATTCGAGCAGAGTGACGCGCTACAACTTGTTAAAATTACTGACTCCACTCTGCTTCGGTCTTCTCATATTTATTTGAATTATTGAGGTCTGCGACCTTCTTATTCGGCGCTTCTCGTCAGCGTTCCGATAATCGGTCGGGGGCGTGATCGCGTAATCGCGTCGCGCTCGCGGTTTTAATATTATAATAAACTTATTTCGCCGCGCGTTCCGGTAATCGGTCGAGGGCGTGATCGCGCAATCGAGTTGCGTTCGCGATTCGTTTATATTATTAATTTATATTATTCTTATTTCTCATCTTCTTTATTTCTTGGTTATGGCGCAATTGTCACTTGTGCAATTTAGCACTCGTGACATTCCTCCCCCTTTGGGAAAAGGAAATGAGGTTACGAATTTCCGTTATTGTACATATCTATAATCCCGGATTACAATTTATTTTACATTCGTTTCTTTTATTTAATACAACATAGCGTCGTTAACGCGGCGCTGTGTTTCTTCCTCCTGTCTTTTTATATTCTTTCTTTTATTTTTATTTTTTACTAGCCATAAAATACCTACTATTATTCCGCTTCTACTAACATTTTCGCTTATTTGCTTCTGCTTTAATGTTCCATAAAAAGTTTTAGACGATTAGCGTGTACGCGCATTGTTTTCCGTCCCATCTTGATCGTAAAATTTACGTCGTTATGTTTATCGAGAATCAGGTAGGGACCGATCCATTTTGATTCTAGTTTTTTAGATCAGCCCCTTCGAACAGTTTAATCATATAGTAAAACGCTGTCGCCGACCTTAAACGTTTCCTTCTTTGTCGTTTTGTCGTACTGTTTTTTGACTTTAATTTTTTCTTGTTGCGCGTATTCTCGAACTATTTGGTTTGTGGCGCGTATTCTTTCGCGTAGTTCTTGTACGTAATTGTTGTACGAATACGTTAGTTTTGGCGTCTTCGATAACGCCGATGGTAGAGTTGCTTGATAGCCGTACATTAATTCAAACGGCGTGAAACCCGTTGCCGTATGAGGAGTAGTATTATAGGCGAACATTGCGTAGGGTAACCACTCGTCCCAGTCGCTCTGTTCCTCATTAACATAATGCCGGAGATATTCGGCTAACGTTCTGTGTGAGCGCTCTAAGGCTCCGTTACTCTCCGGATGATAGGCTGTCGTTTGTATCTTTTCTATTTTCAATAATTTGCAAGTATTTTTAAACATCTCGCTAGTAAAGTTAGTACCTTGATCGGTAAGGATTTTATCCGGCGTACCGTGTTCTACTATTATTTTGGTCACGAATGCTTTCGCGACGGTAGCCGCTTCTTGATTATCTATAGGAATAGCTTTACTGAATTTAGTTAAATTGTCCTGGAAGGTCAGGATATATTTATTCCCATTGGTTGTGACAGTTAATGGCCCTACGATATCTAATGCACATTTTTCAAACGGTTTCGTAGGCGTGTCTGTAATTACTAATGGCATCTTCGTCTTTTTACTTAATTTGTTCTTTTGGCAATATTC